TGGATGCTGTTCAGAATCAGAATCCCCTCAGCCTCTTTAGTGTTCCTGTCTCACACACCTCTGCAGGAAGAGGAGCAGAGAGGAAGCCGTCTTCTGCTTGGTGGCTGCCTTCTGCTTTTTAACTGAGTGTCCTTGGTACACTGCTCAACCACTCAATCAGTTTTCTCTTCCATGAAAGAGAGCCAATTATGCAGCATCTCATGGAGGCCCTGGGAGAACTAAGAACACGAAGTGGGAGCTGCCCTTTGTGTTTTTAGCACCTAGCTCAATGCCTTATGGGCTTGGCTGTTAACATCTGACCAGTCTGGCAGTGGTTCTAGAAATGCTGTGGGCTGCTCTGCAGTCCACAATGAACAGCTTCTCAGACATGAGGCTACCTCCTAAGACTTAAGCCCTGGAGATGCATTACCAATTAATTCTTGTTCTCCTAGGATTCTCTGAGGTCAGGCCTTTTGTTTTCATCCATTTAAGTGTCTAATGCCTGTTGTTGGACACGCTTTCATTTTATTTAGCTTTTACCTATATTCAGTTCAACTCAAACACTACACATTTTGGTACAATGTGAATATATTAGCTGTATGCTTCCTCCACTGCCCTATTTTCACCAGGAAATCCTCTCTTAGAATGACATGAATTACAAGGTATCGTTTAACGTGAACACAGGATTGTCTTGAAGCCCTTGCATGTCACCCAGAGGAACAATGGAACTGCACATGTGCAGGACAGATCAATGCACTGTGGGGCTGTCTGTACAGAGTTCCCATTGTCAGCTCTGCCTGAAGCACTGAGGTAGAAGTCCATTATTTTAACATTAAAGCAGATATACTGAAGAAGTAGAATATAACAACCCTGTAATTAAAAAAAAACCCCGAACTTCAAAGGATACAAGCACGTGTGCATTTGCAACTAGTCCCTTCTCTCTGTTGCAAGGTGAGTTTCACTCGCTGGAAGGGTAGGTAAGAGTCTAGCGGGCTTGGCAGTGGGGCAAGCCATCTCTGTTTTAGGGAACTTTACAACTGAGAGATGCTATGTGTCCAGCTCCAAGTCAAGCTCACTGCAGCTCCCAGGAAGTTCCACTCCTAATTAACAGTATCTGTCCTTGCATAGAGGTAGCAACACAGGCACCATTATGGCTAACATTTTACTAAGCAACAGTCTTGATTTCCCAGTACTCTATAATGTGGGGAGGCATCAGTAAACATCCACTCACATAATTTTTTTCAAGCATTAAAATAGTTTTGAAGTTCCATAATAGAATTTTGATCAAGTTGCTTCTGTTTTTAGATTGGATAAAAATAGCTTACAACTGCCACAAACCTTATAGAACACAGAACATTCTCTTAGCAGTTCTTGCCAAGTCCTGGCATTCTCTCTGACCCTTAGCCTTCCCCAGTCAGCTGAGACAACATGTCTGGAGAACGTTCTGTTGTGACCAAAGGGCAGAGGAGGTTAAGCAGACACCCTCACCTGACAGCATGTGAAGAAATGCAGAGAGATGGGTGCAGAGACCAGTGAAGACCATGGGAATGAAGCAATACTGAAATTACATATCATTGTAAATTGAAGCAATACTGAATTTACATATGAAAATGAAACAATACTGAATTTACATATCATTTCCAAATAAAAGCTCTTCAAATATTTTCATGAGAAATTTGATCTGGCGCCCATGAATGTAATTTTTAAACTATCAGATATTATGCTTAAAATGGTTACACTCAGTTCTTGATGAAGACTATTAACTAACGCTCTCATCTAGCTCTTGATGGTCATCCACGAAAAAAAGTTCATTTTAATTAAAAAATTTCTATTAATTGAGGTTCTAGCTTAGCAGTCCATTATTTTTCCTATGGACATACACACTATCGATGATTATGAAAGTGTGAGTGGCATTGAACCGTAAAGATTTTTTACAAGCAAAGTCCTTTTTTAGTGGTAGGAAAACCCAAGGTGGTCTCCCTCTAGGCAAGTTGGAGGTCACAACAAATACAGATGGACAGATGTCTCCAATCAGTGTGAAGATAGGACCAGACAGCCCAGCCTCCGGGGTCTCCCAGTCCTTCCTGACTCAACCTCAGCACAGCGCCATCCCTGCCTGGATTTCTGCTGACCTGGGACCACAGGAACTAGAAGTAGGCTGACAGTTTTCCTGAAAATTTGTGACTCCGTATTAAAATTTGTGACATTTTTACAAAACTTACAACTAATCATATTTAAAATAAAGGTAATAAAACTATCAAAACTTACCACAGGCTGATTATTCCACTATGGGATGGTAAACTATGCTTTAGTTTATCTCCATCTATTGTGTCTGTGTGATAAAAATGCCACGTAGTAGTATATTCCTGCCTCTGCCCAACTCTAGTGTGGAATGGCACTGAAGGCAGCATCCAGAATCCAGCAAACCCGCAAATAAGGACTTGATCTGCTTCTCTTCTTCCCCCATTACCTCACCTCAGCAGTGGTCAAATATCTGTAATTACATTGCTGGATAAGCTTCTGGGAACAAACACCTAGAGGCTCAAGCTGCCCCAAAGGTGAAGGGATGTGTACATGCTGGTGGCTGTCACTGGGAACCTCTAGAACTTCACAGAACACGTTGGGCCTTTTTGATTTTCCTCACCAGGCCCAGTGAGCCTTATGGACACAAAACTCTCATTTCACTTACAGTAATTCATCTCCATCAACAACAGAGCTAGCAGAAGGCTGAGCACCTTCTCCACACACTCGGGCTTGCCTGAAGTCACACAACGCATGAGTGCACAACCTCTGATTGAGCAACTTTCAGTCTTGTTCAAGTCATCTAATCCAAATCCAATCTCTAGTTGTTCTTGTAGGATTCCCATGGCCTGGGAGATCATGGAGAATGCTGAAGGTGCTAAGAGATAAGAGCCACAGTCACCCAACCTGAGACTCCGGAAAGAAAGGAAAAGGTTGATTGCTGATAAATAGAAAGGTTCCACACATACAAAATTTTTAAGGTGAAAAAACGAAGCATTACTGAAGCTCTGCTTTGAGCACAGTTTGGGGGATGAAAGACAAGAGTCAAATTCCCCCTGAATTCTTCCCCCAGAGCCTAGTCAGGGAGGAAAGGCTGCAGGCTCTGACACCAGGCTGCTGGGAGCTCGTGATTTTCATGGCCTTTTGCTTATCACTACAAACCTTCCAGGTATCTGATACCATCAACTCTTAGAGAGAGCAGCAAGCTGAAGCACAAAATTTTGCTGTTAACTTAGTATGCTTCTCATGAATAACTATAATGCTTCTTAGGATCAAGTATGTGCTAACGAATTCACATATATGAATCAAGTGTGTTCCAGTGAAGAGTCCTAAGCTCCCCCAGCCATTCCAGTACTGAGTGCATGTTTTAACGCTAGCTCCCACTAATAGACACCCAAGCCTATTAGTCCTCACAGTGTGTATTGCAGCCCAGCACTTGTGGAGTTAAACACAATGGGGTTGTTTCTCCCTGGGACTGTGATGGAGGCACCAAACTCACTAGGGGGTAGAGTTCCAGGAGTGACCCCAAGGCAGACGGCTTTTAGGTGAATCCTTTTCACCTAGATAGAGAAAATTAAAAATTAAAGGTTCTCAAACACCCTACTGCAAATAGACCTAACCTCTCTAGAAAAAAGATGGTAAGTATGGACATGATTAATTTGGTTCCACTCCTACCTCTATGGGGCCCTGAGGGCCTCCCTGGCAACCACAGGCCACCTCCCAAGGGGTGCTTGGAGTCAGGCCAAAGGCAATCCAGATTCCTTAGGAACACATAACTGAAACCAGTGTTTCTCAGTTTTTTTAAACTTTTGCCCACTCTTATAAAACAAAAAACAAGCTCTCTTTATTTGACATTTCAAAATAAATCATGACTGAGAATCTACCAAAAAATCTGAGAATGTATTCCACACCTCAGCCTCACCCTGACATTGTTAAGTATCACTTTTAGAACAGTAGCTAAGGGCTTAAGGGGTTATTGCAGCGGAGGGTTAGTACAAGCCAGAGAAGGCAGCCTGAGCCTGCCCTTGAGACAAGGCCCTGTCCCAGTTCACAGGCAGGCCTCGGGGGTGAGGCAAGTCTACAGGAACAGGACAACACCGCAGCACAGTCACCAACACTTCACTGGAACTAAAAAAGGCATTCCTGAGACAAATGTCTCACTTCTTCATGTTGACTGCTCATTTTAAAACACACATGTTCATCTTTTAGGAGTGATAACAGGTATGGAGTTTTGTAAGAAAATATCTGTATGTTTTAGAAAGTATGTCGAAGTAAGGGTGAAATTATATGGTACTTAGGATTATGTTTAACAATGCAACAAAGGGATAGAGGAAGCAAACATGGCAAAAATCTTGACAATGGTTAAATGTGGATGATAGGGTTTTGCTGTGTAACAACTGAAAAAAAAAAGTAAAACAGTAAATTAAGGCAAGCAGCTTTCTTCAGCTGCTTCTGGAATTTTTGCAGATAATTACTTCAGTCACCTTTTGTAACAACAAATGCTTGCTGTTCACAAATAATAATCACACATTGGTTTTCAAGCTTGGAAAAGTCACTTCCTCAATTTCATCTCTATTTTGTCAACAACAACCTTTAAGGATTTTCAGAAAGGAGGAAGGGAAAGTAGAAAGAAAAATACAAGTAAAAAAGGAAGGAAGCAGTCAATACTGTTTTGGAGTGGAGATCAGATGCTCCCCAAGGGACAGAGCAACCTCCCGATTGGTTATCTTTACTCAGGAGTGTGGCACATGGCCCGTCTCTACACACCACCTCTAGAACAGAGGCTCTTACACTGTGATGCAAGGATCTGTGATACAGTTTGAAATGTGTAGGTCAGTTTTCTAGAGAACATTTGGCTTTCCTTGGATTCTCATTCATGTACCAAAAAGTTAGGAACCTCTGCTCTTAATGAAAGAGACTCTGAAAGTAAACTGGTAAGACCGAAGCTCTAGCTACACATTATTACAAGAAAAGATTTTTATTTAAGAACATCTGATACTTTTGGAAATGGTCCTGCTCAATTCTAAAAACCTGATTGACACTCCATCTCCACCATCCACAAACAGAGCAGACTAAGTGCTGCAGACAGTACAACTTCTGTCTACAACTAGTCCTACTTCCACCACCCCACACCTTCATCCAGTGGCAGGGTGCTTAGTCACACTGACCCCAAACCAATTTCACAGATACAGGGCGAATGGGATCCTCCACTCTCAGGTCAACACCCCTGTTGGGAGCTGCTAACAGTAACACAGATGAAACAATAATGTAGACACAAACATTTATTGTGACTGTGACCAAAGTCAGAGAAAGACATTAGAATCGGTGTCCTGCAGTCTTCCCAGACTCAACAACAAAACAGCGATGGCTGGGAATGGCTGGCAATTCGTTATGTTATCACTTCGTAATCTCTCATGTCCAGGAAGGACAGTGCCTCTTGGGCACTACATGAATCTGTATAGCATTTTCCTGTCCTTTAAATAAGGATGAATTCTCTCTCACCAAGAATATCAGCTAAGATATTTTTTCTTACAAACTGTCAGGAGGAAGAAGGACTGGAGCATCTTTTAGTTATCTGCGGAGTCGCAAGATGTGGGATCAAAAGCCTCTCCAAAAAGGACAGAGGGCCCCTCACAACTCTTTCCACGGCACACTGACTTTTCCATCACAGCTGAAGGTCTGAATGAATGTCTGGTCTAACCCACCGTGAAACAGATAACTGCCTTTAGGTTGGTCTATATGAAGAATGTTCTCTAAGAGCACATGCTCTTCTCCATGAAGAGCTGCACTCTCCTCAGCGGCGGAGCCTCAGAAAGAATGCATGTTTACACTCTGTACTCTCCAGGGGGTAATATTTATCATAAAAATCTAAAACATATTCTTCAGTCTTGAATCCAAACTTCTGGTACAGCAGCATTGCGGGATTGCTTGCTGAGACGTGAAGGGTCACATCCTTGCCCATGCAGGTCTGCCAAAAGGGTGGAAAAATACAAGATAAAAATGAAAAAGCCTGAGGGAAAATGAGTAGGTGAGGGAACTCTTTTAAGTATAGGTAGTTAGCTATGGATACCAGAGAAACCAGAGACTGCAGCTGAGACATTGCAACACCTAGCAACAACTGGAAACAGAATGATTTCTTTTGGCTGATCAAAACATTCAAGAAAACATTCATCAAAACTAAAAAAAAAAAAAAAAAAGGTAGTAATCTGGGTGTTGGTTTTTCTTCTCTCTGAAGCAAAGGCCATGGGAGATATTTTATTGTGTACTTTATCGATTTATAACTCAATCACACTAACGCTGTCAAATATATCAAAATCAAACACTATGATAATCTTGAAGAAATAAAGAACAGGATGAGAAGTTCTGCTTTTTAAAGCTAAATGTTACCTTGTATCCTCATACTTGTAAAATTTAGATCTGCTAAAAACCATGCTAAATTATGTGGCCAGATGTGAAATATTGACTTTCTTTTAATTATAGCACCTGAAGATCTTGCACAGACCTTCTGAATCCCAAAGACCACTCTTCCAGGCCTTTTAACCTAATACAATTAGTTTCTCAGAACTAATATATTTAGAATATAAATTCCTATATTTAGCTCAACTTAGGGGAAAAGAGTAATAATCACTCCATAAGTACAAACCCTTAAATTCTTTAATCAGTACACAATACCTGAAAGTCATATAAATTAAAAACTTGCTTTTTTAATAAGGAACTATTAAAATGCTTAAGTGGATACTGTCCTTGACATTTTATAACTCATAACACAAGGCCTCTAAGAATTCCTCTGTGAAAGCTATTACCTTCTTTCTCCATTTAACTACACTCTGCATACAGGCATTTTTGGGACAAGAAAGCACTACCAGTATATAGACGACAAAGTGTTATGTTACAGCGTAGACAAGAATCTTGAGAGATGATATTACTGTTCTTCACACTAAATATACACATGGTCTAACCATGGCAACCACCGAGTACTGCTGACTGAAGAGAACTGTGTCTGGGCCTGGGGTTTATGATCTGCCTGGGGGCCAAGCACCCATATACTATACAAAGATAACACTCCTCTGCCCAACCAGTAAAAGTTCAGTAAGGACTGACTGCCAGGCTGCATGTTGGGTAGTCACATCAAAATGTCACCCCTGCCCTGCCCTCGGGCCCTTGCTGAGGAAAGAGAAGGCAGGCATCCTGTAAATGTTCTGCAAGGATGAAAGGATGATCAGAGTAGAGGCTCACTCTTTGACTGGGGAGTGTAGAAAAAGAACTAACTGAAGTCTCAATTAAAGATAATGTGACAAGGGAACACATATTAACTACCAAGTAGAGAGAAGAAAGCAATTATTAGGAAGATCATTCTAAGGTTCCTACCAAATGTGGGAATTACTAAGTCATTTTCACTGAAGCTCGAAAAACACAACTTTATCATCTCCATTCTCTATTTAAAAGGAATCTTGCCTATATAATGCACAAAAACCTATATACCAAAAGGTTTCTGAATAAAAGTTACCACGGAAATTCTGGAAGGAAAAACCCTTGCATATTTTTTGGATGTTATTTTGTTTCAAAGGAGTTAAAATATATAGAAACACAACTTGTAATTCAATATTTAAATCAAGTCTCAGAAGATTCATACCTGATCATACAGGTATGAGGACCCTGTATGATCCTGGTGGTGGTGACCTAAGAGCAGTGCTGGTGCCCAGCAGGTCAGTGTGAGCTTGTTCAGCTCTTACTCTCGGTGTTTTTCATTTAATTAGCAATACATGGTCATAACATGGCTTCTTTGAAACTGGGTCTAAATAACAGTCTTGTTTTAGAGGTGAAGATTTTTGTCTGTGTTTTAATAATTTCTGGAATAAGTGTGATAGGCTTTCTTTCATTTGATTTTCAAGGCAACCATTCCACTGGGCCTTGAACCAGTTTCATCCTGTCTTCAAGGCTTTCAAGGCAGCTCAGAGCAAGCCAGCAGATCAGTATAGGAAACTCACCTGAATCAGATGATAGATCATGAAAGTCGCAATTCCTGCTCTTCTCCATTCAGGATGAACAAAGAGAAATGAAATGTAAGCTTCATTGTACTTCACATCAGGAACCATGAAGCCAAAGGCAATAATGACTTTTTTATACAGGACAACAACACTGAAGTCTGGATACTGCAAGCACTCAGACAGGTCAATGCCTAAGGAAGAGATTGGAGATTCAAACTGTGCTTTTTAGGCACCATATATTTAGAAGTAATGAACAAACATCAAACTGGTTGGTCTGTACTTACAGCTACACCCCGGGGTGCTACACAAGTAACAACAACAAAATAGACACAAAGTGACATATACAGACTACTGATCTGCCACTGTGGGAGAGGGAAACCTACCAGGCCAGAAAAACTCCTGACACATAGAGTTTATCGTTGGAATGTGATTTGGCCGAACGTAGCAGTAATCAAGAGGTGCATCAGGCTCTGGTGTCCAGTGAGGGTCACTCCGGTGCTGGTGGGAACGAATCTGTGACAGGAGCTGCAGTTTGGGTGGTTTTGTTTCATAGTCACGCCTCCAGTACCACAGAAAATAAATAAATTCATGTCAAGAAAATATCCAATATTATCCCTAGCTTTTTGATTCTTACAAACTCTGTGGTCTGCTTGAAATTTTAATTAATTTGTGCTACTTTATATGGCAGCCAATTTTGTAACAGCTATAATACTTTTCTGGGATATAACTGAGAATTCACTCTATTAAGAGTCATTGAACAACTGACTATACCTGCCAGGAGCTCTACAAGGAGTGGTGACTCTTTACTGATCAAAGGGAGGAAATGCAAACAGCATCCTCACTTGACTCTGAGTTCTCCAATCCAGGACGAGGCCGGAGAAAGGGAAATGTAAATCTACGAATGTGAAGTCTAATAAACTTAACATATTCTCATCCCAGGGCAGCTGAGGAGCACTACAGACAAGAGAGCCTGGAGCAGGCTGACACACTGCCTGCCCAGGAAGGCAGTCTGGTCAAGGAGGCCCATGGATTAGTACTGCTCACCAGCATGTTCTCTCAATCACAGTGTGAAATAGACAAGGGGCATCTCTAGTCCCTCAGCATCCACAGTACTACTCAGACTAAAAGGCTCATCAGCTATAAGCCCAAATAAACCATCTCTCTCATTTTTTTAAATTGTACAAACTACTATATAGATCCATCCATCCTTAAAATCTAAAACAACACATATGATAATCACCATGACATCTAACAAATGGAGGATGAGAGTGGACACGGAACACAGACTTGATCCTGGCCAATACTTATGCACAAGTTTTGATCTTTGTTCACTCCTGTAGGGGAGGGGGCACAGTATTTCTCATGGCATACTCGCCATCACAGCTCTGTTCCATGTACCTGATATAAGGTTTCAAGATCCGAGATGTATAAGGGCTGACAATACTTTGGTCCACAGCCATATCTTCAGATCCCACCAAACGATACAAAAACTTAGTGGTCTGGTGCCTAAATCCTTTCCTGGATGGCAAGGCAGTCTATGAGAAAGAAACACTGGTCATACAAAAAGAAAGTTACTCCAAGGATTGGTTTGATTCCCACAGGTAACTCATAACATTCTCATGCATCAGAACATTCGTCATTTTACATTATTTACTTGGTAAGTTCAAGTTTCAACAGAAACTTCATAGGTATCTTTGTATAAAATTCCCTATGAAAGACTAACTCCAATTTCAAAAGCTTAAAAATCAAAATAATTTTTTAAAACTTTATTTAAAATACTTTAAATCCTTGAATGAAATTTCAGATTGAACACTAGATTTACAACTTTTCTAGTTTCTGTTTGTCTATACTATGCCTTTACTCCATTCCCTAGTATCAAACGTGTAACAAATCCATTGGTCTCTGTTAACCACAGAGCTTCAGGGGCCAGATGTTAGACCTACATATGGGTTTAGTAAAATTAGTTTAGTTTAGTTTCTATTCCAATGAGTAAATATAAGTAGGATTGATGTAGATTATCAACATTCAAACAAATCACCATTGCAGAGAGGCAGTGCCAGAGGTTCAATGATGTGTCTTCTTAGGAGGGCCCTAATATATTGAGAGCCCAATGGAGGTGTCTGAGTGCTGGTCATGTAGTAACAGAGCACATGCAATTAAGGTTTTATAGCGAAGAACTCAGATGAAAGATTAAAAGGCACATTTATAGAGTGGTTTGCATCAGGGGTTTGATGAAGTTTAGAAACTCAAGTTGTTTTGTAGAATCAGTTTGCTCTTATCCTAGAAAATAACTTTGGTGGAAAAGAGTCAGAATTCCTGCTTTTATAATATGCTCTCCTTACTTTCCCAAACTGAACACCAAAACTTTCAAAGGCCAATTCTGAAATTCTTCCAGGAATTTAAAATAAATTTCAAGTGAAATTCAAAGCTGTGGTATATATTTTCCAAATACAGCAACCAATACTTCCTCCCCTGTCTATAGGTTCAAACGGCTCCTCATGTCAAAAGGCAGAATCAACTTACTGTCCCTACCTTTGAATCTGGTTAGGCATTGTGATAGGCTCTGGCTAATCAGAATGTGGCAGAAGTTTTTCATTCAGAAACAACCGAGCCAGGCCTTAAGAACACTGGTGGCTTCCATTTCTCCCTTCCCAATTCTGACTACTCTGGTGTCCACACTGAACTACCAAATGATGAGAGACCACATGAAGACAGGTTCTGCAGGGAGACCCAGGTCCTAGCTAGGAACTGAAGGCAGCCACATGTGTGACCACTGCATTCAGCACTAAGTAGAAGAACCACCCTGGCCAACCCACAGAATTGGAAGAAATATTAAACTGTTATTGTTTCAAGTCACTAAGTTTTGGGGTGTTTGTAACAGTGACAGATAACTCAAATACTACTGACCCACTAGCCCATGATATACTATCTGGCTAATGTTTCCAGGTTCAACTTCTGTGGAGTTCCACGGATACTACACAGTACCCCAACTTCTTTTTCATCTCCACTGCTTTTAAGGCACCCTCACCTTCTGCTTGAAGGTGTCATCCTACTATTACTCTGATCCTATCATCCATTCTCCACACAAAGCAGATTCACTTCCATTGATCAAAATTCCTGCACAGCCTCTGTAATGTGCAGAGTATAACTCAGCCTCTTCATCAATGGGATCTGGCCCCATTACCTAGTGGGCCTTAGCTCCCACAACCCCCTTCCTTTATCATCAGTGTTCCATCTCCATAAGCCAAACTAGCTCCTGCCTTAGGACCCAACCTGGGCTTTCTGCCCTGAACTTTCTTCAATCTGAGTCACCCGCGGATCAGGATTGGTTTGGCATTACCTCCACAGAAAGGTGGCTCAAAGTGTGCCCTCTACTTCTTTCTCCACCACACCACTGCTCTCACAGGAAGGGATTCTGTGGTTTAAGGAGTCAGTCTGTCACGTGCTTCATAAGGACAGAGACCTTTTCTGTCTTAATTCACTGCAGTATTCCTAACTAGAATAGTGCTTGGAACATACAAAGTACCCAACTTATAGAACTTATGTTTGTTAAATGGCAAATGCTGGAGGACAGGAGGGAAGAGTTGGGGAGAAAGTATACCAAAATGAAACAAGTTTGGAAAATATAAAATGAATTTATTCAAACTACTAATTCTAAGCAAAATGGGTAGATTCCTGGATCCTTCACCTAAACCCAATTTGGAAGATGCCACAAAAAAGGAAGATGGAACACAAAGGCCATGAGAAATCCCATCAAAGGTGACTGGGTACAGGTCAGGGCAAACTGCTGCCTAGAGCAGACAGGCTCTGCACCACTGTATAGGGGACTAGAGGAGGGGAGGAGAGGACTGTCCAGGTTAGGCAGAGAGGCAATGATGCTAGAGCAGCACCGGGGCTTTCCAGAGGTGGAGGGTAGATGCCATTGGACAGCTCCTGAGCAATTAAAAATCTCAAGCAGTAACCAAAGAGGGAAGTAAAAAGGAGATATCCTGGGAGCTTCCCTGAGAGGTAAGGTTGCCTAATTGTGGAGAAAGAAGATGCGACTGGCTGAGCCCAGCGACCCTTTTCTTATAAAACCTGCTAAGAGAGTAACCAGCTGGGAACCAGGCTTTTGCTCTTTTCCTAGCTATTGTACCATCAGCAAAGGCAACTGTTAATACCAAGGGAATATCCATTCACAGGAAAAAACTTCAAGACATGTAAATGGAATGCAATACAACAAAAGAAAGATAACAAACTAAACAAACTGAATGGAAAAGGTAGAATTAGTTTACCAAAGATTTTATTTTTAAAGATTTATTTATTTGTGCATACAGAACTGGGGTACAGGCCAGAGGCTCAGGGGTGGCGAGAGGCTTCACCAGAGACAGAGTGAGGAGCAGAACAGGCAGATTGACAAAGTACACTGCTGAGGGGAGCAGCAGGCAGGTCAGGAGAGGTCTGCCACACCATGTGGTCAACTCCGGGGCAGGCGGGAATCGAACTCATGCGGAAGTGGCTTCAACTTCTTAGTACAGTGCTTTAACCCACTGAGCCACCATGGAGGGCCAACAGACAAAGGTTTTTAAAAAGCACAACAGACATCCAGGAACTGCTAACCAAGACTACAATGAAATGGATACCTACTAAGATGGATATAATAAAAAAGACAGGTAATAATAAGTATTGGTAAGAATATATGGAGACACCAGAATTTTTATACACTGCAGGGAGAATATACAATGGTACAGTCATTTTGGAAAGAAATCTGACACTTCTTCAATAAGTTAAACATCATGTTACTAGATCCATCCCTAGAGAATGAGGACCCAAGAGAAATGAAAACATGTCCACACAACAACTTGAACACAACTGTCCATAGCAGCATTATTCATCACAGCCAAAGGTGGTAACACCTCAAATGTCCATCAACTGATGAATGGCTTAACGCTGTGGTATAGTCATACAATTGAATATTATTTAGCTATATGAAAAAAATGAAGTAGGGGACTCTCCAGTGGCCTAGGAGTTAAGTCTCAGTGCTATCACCACAGCAGCTGAAGTTTGATACCTTTTCAGGGAGGCAACCCACATGGCACAGCAGACCTTTCCCATCTTGCCTGCTGCTCCCCTTAGCAGTGTATTTCAGTAGATCTGCCTTTTCTGCTCACCAGTGTTTCTGGCTAATCCTCTCACCACCCCCACTTCCAACTCACACCTCTGGCCTGGCACCCTAGTTCTTCTAAGTGAAAATAAATAAATAAAACCTTTTTAAAAAATTGTCCTCTTGGGCCCTCCTTGGTGGCGCAGCAGGCTAAAGAACAGCACTATGAAGCTAAAACCACTTCAGCATGAGTTCGATCTCCGCCCTGGAGGTGACCCACATGGGGCAGCAGACCACTCCTGACCTGCCCATTGCTCCCCTCAGCAGTGTACTTTGTCAATCAGCCTGTTCGGCTCCCCACTCTGTCTCTGGTGAATCTTCTCACTGCCCCTGCACCTCTGGCCTGTACCCAGTTCTGTATACATAACTAAATATTTTTTGAAAAATTGTCCTCTCTTCCTTTATAAAAAAATTAAGTACAGCACAGATAAATCTTAAAAACATCATGCTAAGTGAAAGAAGGCAGTCAGAAAGAACATATCTTTTATGATTCCACTAACAAAATATGTGTAGAACAGGCAAATTTACAGAGAAACTATATAAATGGGGGAGATCTTGAGGGAGGGCTTAACAACAGCAAAGGGCTTAAGGGTTCTTTTTAGGGTAATAAATGTTCTAAAACTGACTGTGGTGATGGTCACAGAGCTCTGACTATCTGAGGAACCACTGAAACCTTAACAATTTAAATGAACAACATGGCATATGAATCTCTATTGATATTTTTAAAAATCACAGTAAGTAGGCCCAGAGGTAATTAAAAAAGTAGAAACAGAATGAGTAGTTATGAAGCATAGCTTTACTCACTACATACTTAATACATGATTGAAATAAAGCACTCAACAGCACTCAACCCTACTGAAAAGGCAATGAAAGAGGTTCATTCATTCATCCAACATCCGTATTTGGAGTTCAGAAGGGGAGTGGAATATAATTAAAGAACTGATGGTGAGGAATTTCACAAACTAAAGAAGCATAAGAGGACAGCAGGTTTCCAGCCCAGCATGTTAGGAGTTTGGAAAGCATCACTCTATCCTAACAATTGTTCTTAGATCAGCAGAGAAGTAAAGTCACAAAGCAAACCACTGTCCTCCAAAGTGTTAAGAACAAGCGGGTACAAAGAGCCACAACTTATTAGATTAGAAACCTTAGGAAGCAGAGGGCAGGCAAACCTAAACTGCAATGGATGAGCTGCTGGAGGGCTCCGTGTGGACAAATCTGAGAAACAAACCTGTGGGATGCAGGGAGAGCGGTGCACAGGAGCTCTACCAGGTTCTCACAGTAAAGAGCAAAGACAAACCTCTCTTGCTTCTGCATGGGAAGGGAGAAAGCAGGCATTTTGAAATATGCCAGACCATTCTGTTATTCTTAACAAGATCTTGCCCTCAGTGGAAA